ATTCTGTTCTATTCTATTCTATTCTATTCTATTCTATTCTATCCTATTCTATTCTATTCTATTCAGTAGATCTGCAATAGAAGAGTGATTGGAAAGATGCATATTTGAAAGATTGGATAAACATATTTAGAAAAAAAAATACTTAAAATCTTGAAGTAGGAAGATATACAGCATTTCTGGGTTACAGAGCAGGACAGAAATGTGTGAGGGAGCAGTATGAATGTGTGAGGGAGCAGTGTGAGGGAGCAGTATGAAATAGATTTAATATATAACATTTCCAATACAATTTCTGTAACATGTCTGAACTCTTTGTGCAAAATTAACAGAAAAATGATGCATCACTAATTGGTTTTTAACCCAGTGAATATTTAAAGCCAAACCAGCTTCTATGTGCATAAACAGCTTAACATAACAGCTTCTACACATCGTTATTTCTTGAGATTTGCCAATCCTATCACTGAAGATCCCTTCCTGGAACTATTTTCTGTCCAGAAGAAAAGGAACTAGAGAGTGTTTCTCAACCTTGACAACTTTAAGATGTCGCAACTTCAATTCACAGAATTCTGGGACTAGAAGTCCACACATCTTAAAGTTGCTGACGTTTAGAAGCACTGAATTAGAGACAAGCCAAGAATGAAAGAATCATGAAAAAAATCTTCTCTCCTGCTGCTTTCTTGTTAAGTAACCCAAAGAATAATGAGATTTGGGGGGAAATCTAGCTTAAAGGGACAACCTTCTTTCTGGGTCAGCTTAAAAGTCATATTCCATACTTTGAAGAAAATGCCTACAAGGTTTAAAGCACTGTTTTACTGCTGAGGTGTAGGATTGGCTGTTAGGCAAATTAGGTTTGATAAAGGAGCATGTTGGCTAAATGTGGTTTTGCTTGGATTCATGTGAGTTTCTATTTGCCAGAAATGAATGACTGCAATATTTATGATTGTTTGCAGATGTTAGGAGGAATCCCATGGCAAGCCTATTTCCAGCGAGTCCTTTCTTCTTCATCAGCTACGTATGCACAAATGCTCTCTTTTCTGGCAGCGTTTGGATGTCTTACAATGGCAATACCTCCAGTGCTTATTGGTGCCATTGGTGCATCAACAGGTACATCAACCATTTATTATAATAACAAATTACTGGTTCTGGGGGCTCAAGAAATGAGTCTTTACACATTTTGAAAGTGAATATCTAGCAATAAATGAATATCCAGAGTAGAGATGTGTTATCTCAAAGCTGTGGCAACCTTACAATGTTTGTAATATATCAGTACTATTTTTATCATTATGGTGTAGTTCCCAATGTTATTAAAACAAATATACTATCCTAAACATTTTCATAGAAGAATAGAATTCAGCTTGGAAAGGCCATTTGGGCAACTGATCTATTTAAATCTTAATTATACCCATGAGATATAGTTGACCTTTATGAAAATGAATGAAATGCTTAACCTGAAGCCTTTCAAAGTCTACTAGATTTCACAATGGCAAATTTGGCACAATACTAGCCAAATTTGACATCTAAACAATAAATATAAAACTAGTGAAGGTATATTTTGTAACACGTGATTGTGAATATAGGCCTAGACCACAGAATCCAGCAATTAAATCCAGCTTTTTATTTGTTTGTTTGTTTGTTTGTTTTAAAATAAATACCTGTTTTTAGAATTGGATACCAGAACAGATACCAGAATTGTAAAGGGAAGGGCATTATCACGATCCTGTACATTAAATAAAGGTTCCCATTAGATACATCTTATATGTTTACGATTCTTTAATTGCTGGTCATGTTATAGATGTCAGATTGTTTATGAGCATAAGTATTCTAGTTATTGATTTCTTTTTTCAGGTACTGTACAGGTCTATCCACAAGTACCGTAATTAGTGTATGTTTATGTTACAGATTGGAATCAGACTGAATATATTGGTCACGACCCTAAAGCTGAAGATAAAAGCGACATGATATTACCAATTGTCCTTCAATATCTTTGTCCAGTCTACATTTCGTTCTTTGGCCTTGGGGCTGTGTCTGCTGCTGTAATGTCTTCTGCTGACTCTTCCATTTTATCAGCAAGTTCTATGTTTGCACGGAATATATACCACCTTTCATTTCGGCAAACTGTAAGATTATATTATAAACACAGTACCATTTTATAAGAGCTGTAGTTGGCAGTTGATACTGTCATGTATATAGGAAGGAAAGAGTATCTTGAACCATTTTGTGTTCAATCTATGACAATCATTAAAGGGTGAAGGAATTATGCTCACTTTCTTCTGATATTCCAAACTTTTGGATGTTCTAGAAGCAAAAGTCTTTTAATCTTCAAAATTTTAAAGGGAAAAATCAATCCTATACCTTATGAGAGGCAACCTTATTTCTTAAAATGGTTAATGGTTTATACCAGTGGTAGTCAACCTGGTCCCTACCGCCCACTAGTGGGTGTTCCAGCTTTCATGATGGGCGGTAGGGGTTTGCTGTAACTCCACTTTATAAATTTTATAAAGTAAAGNTTCTTTTTTAAAAAAGCTTAAAAATTGAACAAGGCTTCCCAAATCTAAAAGATAACTATGGTGTGGTAGTAGTACTAATCAGAACACTGATAGTAAAATACTGTGTAGAAAAGCCAGGTGTTCTCTTTTTATAGTAATATTTGAGGAGAGTAATCATAAGGATTTAGCTGTACAATTGGATTTAGAGAGATTTGGAGTGGGGAAGGCACAATTCAAAATGTATTTTTAAACATTTAAAACATTTGGCCTATGTAGCTAATACTTTAATATCTAAAGTTTATATAGTCTACTTGTGCATATATCATACATATATATGCTATTTACAACATACAGGATTGTGCAGGCTGAAATTTTATCTCTGCAAACTTGTATAGCCATTTAAATGTGTACCCAAGGAATAACTAGTCTGAGCCCCACTGAAGACATAAAATTGAATAATTTTACTTATTTATCCATTTAGATTATATAAAATCATTCCACTCACAATTTATGACTCTGGGTGAACTATACCAGTAAAAATAAAACACAATAAAAGTCAAAAAAATAAATACAGTACAAAATACGATCAATTTAAAGACAAATCTGGGTATTACAAAACCCTTTCATAGCACAATGGTTCATCTACTACCCTGATATTATATCACTTTATTTTTTTCACTCAGATTGGCAACTTATAATATATGCCTTTGAATATTTATTAAAACCAATATAAATTTAAATGTATGACCTACAGCCTGGCAAGGTGCCTGCCCTGTCTTTAAACTGTTCTTCTGAAAGAAAAGGGAGACTTCAAGGGAAGACATTCCACCACCCAAAAGTCATATAGAGAAGGACTTTACCCATATGCTAGATAAATAAACTCCTGATTGCAAGATCATTTTCAGAAAAACCTATCTAAAGATGTTGATGAAGATTTTCAGTTATCCAGGTAGAGTTGTCTGTTGAGTCATGAGTATGAGATCCAACTCTGGTCGAAGATATGCATGGAATTCTCCCTCCCGTGTCAACTTGATAATAGTCATGGAAACGCTTTACAAGTTGACAGCAACTGAACTTAAGTCCAGTTGCCATGTCTCAACTTCCAGACCTATCAAAAGATCTTAATGCCCATCAATTAGGTTCTTCATCAGACATCTAAAATGGCTATGTATGGCTTTAAAGGCAAACCCCAACAAGAAGCTCTAAAGCAGTGGTTCTCAACCTGTGGGTCGGGACCCCTTTGGGGGTCGCCTAAGACCATCAGAAAATACATATTTTCGATGGTCTTAGGAACCGAGACACCAATTTTATGGTTGGGGGTCACCACAACATGAGGAACTGTATTAAAGGGTCGCGGCATTGGGAAGGTTGAGAACCACTGCTCTAAAGAAAGCCATTTCCTACCTAGAGTGAGCAATTTGAAATCCCCAGCTGGCAGATTCTTTTCCCTGATATTTATTTACTTACTTATTTAACAGGTATACTGCTGACTACTAATGCCAATTTTGTAATTCAAAATAAATGAATAAATGTAAAATTGAGAAGCTAAAGGCAGTTAAAATGCTATTTCAGCAAGCAAGAGACATTAATGACTGATAGTACTGAGTATTTATATTATTAAAAGTTTACAAGAAAAATAACTGCTTTAAAGGATTTTTAAATAGCTAACAAAGATGTAAGACACCTCCATTCTACAGGAAATACAATCCAAAAATATGCAAAGGCTCAATCCCGAGCTGCTTCCTATAGAATTTTAAAAGGAACTGTATAAACCTCTTTCTGAAAGGCTGCCCCATATAATAAAAAGACCACATTTTTAAGGCCATTATCTTTCAGAAATGGACTCAGTTGGCATATCAACAAAAGCTGATAAAAGGCACTCCGGGCTATTTCCTCAATCTGCGAAGATCAAGAAAGGTTTGCTCCAGAAGCTTGCTTTTAAACTATGATGTGCTCTTTTTAGGAGAACATAATCCCATTCTGAATATAGACATTTACCATAACTTTGGAAGTCTGGACACTCACAATGAGCACCTCCATCCTGTCTGGATTTTATTTCAATGTATTATCCCTCTTCCAGTTCATTACTGACTTCAGGCAGACATTGAAGGAAAGTATTCACTTTCCTAAAATGTCACAGAGAGATTTCATTTGGGTTTTTCAATACATCAGCATACTGATACTGCCTAACAAAACAAAATCAGATAATCTTCCCCAATGTTTTCAAGTAGGCATTGAAAAACACTGGAGACAGAATGGAGTCCTGAACAAACTGATATAATGGTTCTTGTTTCAAGGAACAAATATCTACAAATGATATTATCTGAAATATAACTGAAAGATAGAAATGGAAAACCTGTACAACCATGCCTTCTCTTTCCAAATCTTTCTAGTGATCGAGAAGAATTCCTTCAAATCCCTCTCCTAATAATCCAGGCTAAAATCAGTTAATTCATAGCACAAGAATCTAAGAACTCCAATTAGCTTATTTATTAGGCAGTAGATTAAGGTCATAGCACAAGAATTCTAGTGATGACTTTTAAAAAAAACAGATACTGTATACTGTATATCAACAGCCTATGGTAGTGAAACTCTTACCCTCTTCTTCAAGCTTTTTTTAATGCAGGTTTCATAAAAGGAATAAGACTTGCCTTTTCTGTAAAATGTGAGGCAATCTGTACCTGTTCTTTATTTTAGTAGCCATTATTCCTTTTTATCGGGATCAGCATGAGAAATCTGTCCCATAGTTACCATGTACAATAGTACTGAAAACCACTAAGCAAGTCCAGGAGTATCAAGAAAGTCATGCACCCTCTGTCAGTCTCCAAACAAAAATCATTCTTCAAGCCAACTTAAGGTCATCTCAACCCCATAGGTCAACCTGAAATGTGTCAAGAAAATCTTTCCTGCAGGATTGCCTGCAGGTAAGAAGCTGCCACCATTGTCTTGGTCATCTTAAATAAGAAGAGTTAAATTTTGCCTATAATTCCTTATCTCCAAGGTATCTGGAATGGGCTTTTCAAACGAGGTTTAAGAATTGCATTCTTTAAACAAAGAAACAAGCCTCAGAAAGAAAATAGCCTCAGGGGGCTATTTATCATAACTAAGGCCTATGTTATATCCTTCCAGTTACAACTGACAATACAAAATATCACAAACTGAAGCAAATATGTTCTAATAATGCGAGAGAAGTGATTAAATATCATCAAGGTTAGCTGTTTGCAAGGTGGCATCCAAATTGTCAAAAGTTTGAGGTACATACACTTAATATTTATCACTGCTCTGAAACATCTGGGTAAGGAAGGTAAGTTTTTATAATGACAACTGCTTCATGTCCCTTCCCACTTGCCCTCTAGTGGGATGCTGCAGGAAGAAACTAAACCCTCAAAAGCTCACCTGCCTTCTTAAGCCCCTCATCTATGATGGATGATTTGTTTTATTTTGTTTATTTTATTTTTATTTTCCTTCATATTTCATTGAAGGAAGACCAAGTTCTTTGGAGGGCTGGAAACTTTCTAAAACTGACACGGCTATCAGAAGACAAAATCGCCCTTATAGTTCTAATATCTTTTTCCTAATAACGACTTAACAATTTCCAATACCAATAGTAGAATATCTACTATTCCCACCATTACTGTGATTGCTACCACAGATTCCTGTGCCCTCTTCCCAAACGCACTTTATCAACTCAATTAAATATAATAATTGGTCTTTATTTTCCTGTTGTATAGCTTGAATTGGGGCAATATACAAAACTACATAATAAATAAATCAAGTAATTGTGCAGGGAATCCTTCTGATAAATCTTTGAACTTTCTTTTGCAACTTTTCTCATCCAACAACCAATAATTACTGGAATGTACATAGAGTGGGTTGCCAGTGAAATGCTTTAAAATAAATAAAATAATCAGCCTTACTTCCAACTGTGTTTTGATTATCTAAAAAGCAACAGGGAGGTTTTTAACTATAATTCTGTTGCAAGAGCTCAAGAAACCAAGAATAAACTGCATGCTGAGGTGATGGAAACTGAGTGGCTTAAACAATTTTCAGGAAATTTAAAATGCAAGTTCTCTTTTAATACAAGTTACTGTACGTGAAAGCTTTCTGTTATGTTTCACATTGTGGAAGCAAATATTTTAAAAGCCTATTATGCTCACAAAAAGACAACTTATAATTAAGAACTGCTTTAGATGCTGAGGAATGATTGCCACTTACACCCACATTGAGTCAGGACCAAGGACAGCAACACATTCAAGCACATTAAAGTACTATGCTTTGTCCATGAAACTTTGAATATTAACAGGATCATTTGAATGGTTAAGTAACATTATCAAGAGTATATCCTGGATACCACATGTTCACTTCAAATGTACTGAGCAATCCCTACAATTCTCATATTTAACTTTTGGTTTAGAAACAATGGCTAGAGTAATATATTTCACCGTAAACAGATTCTACCAGCATAACAATTATATTCCTCCAGTTTGTTGCTACAGAATTTCATTCAACACTCCCGATTTTTTCCCTGTTTCTTTTCTCTGGAGTCACTGCATTTTTCCTTTCTTATTCTCCCCCTCTCCCTCTCCCTCCCTCCCTCTCCCACCCTCCCTGTCTCCATTTAGAGATCTTTT